CTCGGTCAATAACAAATATAGCTAAAAAACACACCAAACATATTCATATATAGGCTACTGGAGCTTAAATTAAGAAATATGTACTATATAATGTGATCAATAATAATGTAAAACAAACTACGTATAACTACCACATTATTACTGAGTGAATGTAAAATGTAAGTATACAGTTATGAAGACATATCTGACATTTCCACTGGGTGACTAATTTCAATTGATGTTGACACCATCTCACAACACTCCTAAAATAACAGTACTTTCTGAAGCACAATTTAAAATGTATGCTGTTTAAAATCTCAAATTAGATCTATTGTCCATCTATATTTTAATTTAATGGAAACCGTCCATAATCAAAGAGTCACTCGAAGTTAATAAAATACTTATTTCACTTCAGGGTGATAGCAGGAGACCCCATCTAGTCAATCAAAGAAAATCAGGACAATCTGATGTAGAATTTCAAAATAAAATACTTTTGAAATCTCATATATGGGCTATTATCCCTCTGTTTTTAGATAAGAATAAAACAAAAACAATCCAGTATCAAAGACTTATTTCACTTCAGGGTGATAGCAGGACATCCCATCTAATCACTCAGAGAGAATCTGGATAATCTGATGTACAGTTTCAAAAAGACCTGAAGTCTCATAAATGAGCTATCGCCCGGGAGAGCAGCCATCGCTCCCAGCTTTGCAGCCTGAGCCGATGACACGTAGATATCGTCTTCTTGCTCATCCGAATCAGACAGGAGGAACTCAGAGGCACCCTCTTCGTCCTCCATATAATCCAATTCCAGGACATCCTCAGCGGGCGAAACCATGGTGAGGTCCAGCCGGTAGCCCCAGCTTGGTAAAGCGTGGGGCTCCGTTCTTGCGTCTCTTGCCGCCACCGGGTCCCAGCCTGACACGGCGCTGGACTCAATCTCTGCGGCGGACGCCCCCGCGTCTTGATTGCCAGCCGGCAAATCAGCGGACATGAGGGGGTCCTGTCCCGACAAGCTAGCTTGGCGTGCTAACCGTCGGCGGAGGCTCTTTACGGTGAAGCGGGCACAATGCCGGCACGAGCCGGGGTTGTCAATAGCCTCCTGGGCGTGTTCCAGCCCGAGGCAGGACGAGCAGACCTGGTGTGAGTCTGTGCCTGATATTTTCAACCCGCAGCCGCAGAGCCGAGCCTCCGAGTCCCTGACTCCTCTGGTGTGAGGGAGAGAGGCGTCCATCGTGTTCGCCGCGTGGCGTGGAGAGGACCCGCTCGTAACAGGTACGTAGCCTCGCTACCGTGGTGTCGGTAGTGAGGGAAAGCAAGCTAGCCTCTGTTGCTCGCTTGAAAAATCAAAACTTTACCTTAATTTCCGAGGAAAGAAACGGCGAGGTCGATTGTAATACTAACTGGTGTGTTAGCATTAACAGTCTTCTTGCGAAGCAGAAGAGTAGCCGGCGAGCGCCCGTTGACCGAAAGTTAGCTTTGGGTTCAGTCTGTGGACTGTTAAGCTAGCCCAGCTACCATCGAGATGTGCTCTGAAGCGAGAAGAGGTGTTTGAATGACGCATGCGACGTAGCGCAAGCTACTTATAGGGGGTGGATTCCCTGATGCTGACGTCAAGATCACCAGCCAATCAGGATTGGCGTAATGAGATTGATGCTTCTGTTTGCTCCGCGATGGAGATGGGTCTGGCTGCGAGATGGGTCTGGCTGCAGACCGCAGCAAGGAGGCGGATCGTATGGGGCGGATCGTATAGGGGCGTTTCCTAACTTTTTTTATCCAATAGAATAATGACACTCAGCAGAAATACATACTGTAGGTGGCAGTAATGCAATTTAAGGGATTCCAGCTGCTTTTATAAATCCTCGCAGAATAATTCATTCGTTCTTTCACGATGGCCGAACAACAAGTTGAAACAGCGGTAATAGTATTTTCCAGAGATGCATGTTTATATTTATTGTAATGTCATTTTTCTTAACACACAATTGTCTCGTTATCAAAGTACAACATCGACTGTCCAACCTCGTTAAGCGTTAATAAAGTAAATAATAGTTGTATGTGGTAAAAATGTTTGTGGTATTAAATGCTAACTTAGCATGATGGTATAAACACGTTGGCCTATAGTCCCGTTTGCAACCAGGCCTACTCTACTGTTGTAATAACGTTAAGCTTAGATAGGTCAATAGATTATCAGGCTCGGTAACAATACTGATTTGTGTTACCAAAGCTGATCATCTAATTGACCTAAGGTTAGCGTATATGCTGTGATGCTAACCAGCACTTAGCATGATGCTAGTGTACTGTTGTGTACTGTTGTATTATCTTGGAAATATAAGTAGGCCTGCCCTACATACTGTAACTTAATCAAATAATATGGTATGGATTCGGATAGACAACATGGCTAGCTTGGTTGGTTGAATTGAGTAATAAGATGTGCGGTACTGATTAAGGTTGTAACTGTAACAGTTTGTAACTACTAGTTGTAATGAACCAGACGAGAGACGGACGCATCCTTTCAGTAAATGTCGGCTGCTAATCAATATGTAAAAATAACACTTCGGATGTGTCTTCTATAATTATGTAACATTAGTTATGGCATCATCAGAAATGTGGTAAAGTAATATGATTAGAGAAGAGTCACTGGTCATCTAACACATGCTTAATAGCTCACCTAACACTATTAAAGACAGGTTAAAGAATGTAACATAATAAAAACTTCCTAATATCGATAAGCAAAAACACTAGTTATATTATACAAATTATGTGACCCCTTGAGCTGCATAAACTAATAAGCAATCCAATTAAAATATAAATATCAAAGCTCATTCGAAAACTCGGAAGGCTACAGGGGACATGGACGCAGAGGACAACTCTCTGGGATGTACTCGGAAGATGAGCTGGCAGGATTCTGCAGCATTGACTGTTTCTATGATGCTGGAGGCACCTTCCAAGAATAAAATGTTTGTTTAATAAAGACTTTCCTCTTTGTATGTACTATATATATATATTTTTTTTATTAATCTTACCACCAGACACAACATGAACATGAATGACACACATCAGGACAGTAACTTAAACTTCAGTATTTTAGGTGTACAGAAACCTCTACTCATGTTGTTAAATGATATACAGCAATATCTTCCATAAAACGTAGTTGATTGATTTGAATAATAATTACTACCACTGCACAAACAGTGAAAAAATGATATGCCTACAATTTATGAATTTGTCTTCTCTGTGGGTTGTGTACTCTTCATTCTTTATGCAAATTAATTATAATTATTATTTTTCAAAGTTCGTTTATGATTCATTCAAAGCATTAAAATAAATTAGAAACAGAGAGCGTCATATCCCTTTAAGAAATACGTGGGGGCGGGGTTCATAACCCTTTAGGAAACGCCCCTATACGATCCGCCTCCTTGCTGCGGTCTGCAGCCAGACTCTATTGCCGCGATGAGGCGCATCCCATAGTGAGACATCGAACGGAGTGTTATGAATGAGAACTCAAAATGTCCCCGGTTTTAATTTAGAAAATCTGGTCACCTTATAATATAGTATTGAATTATCAAGTCTGTTACGGACAGTTTTTAGATGCAATTTTGATATGCAAGATGTACCTGACTCCCGTGAGTAGGCCTACATTGGTTACTCACAAGACATTTATTTTTACGGAACCCGAGTCAGAACATCCTGCAGGATAGTTGGCGAAGCAACTTTAGGTTGGGATATCTCGTGACTTTCTAAAGATATATGCGAAAAAAACGGCGTCACTCTTAATGCACTTCATAAAGTAGGATGCGTTTACTCACGTATTCGTTTTCTGCTTTCCGTAGATTACATGTTACAGACGATGTCTGCAGTTCCAAAAAGTAATACTTAAGAAGAGGCCTTGGTGTTGGGTTGGAGATCATAAGAGAGACGTGCATCATCAGGATGCAGCAAAGCAGGAGCTCTACAGGAGGTCACACACAAACAAGTATGATGCTGGGATTTGCATAACAATAAACCGGGTGCTTTATCAAGTGTCACAAGTATCATCATCACAGTGTCAAAACAGGATGAGACAGAGAGATTATTTTTTAATGATAACAGCTTATTTCAGATTTGGTAGTTTGCTTAAGAGGTTGTTATAGTCAATCAAACAATATTCCTGAAATCACAACATAATAACCAATGCAACTTAAATTAGACCAAATCAATGTAATTGTCATGTAAAAACAGCTTACCTTTACCAACAGGCATGGTGGGACTTTTTCTTTTTGCTGTTGAATTAATGTTCTTAAGCTGGCACACACTGGGTTTTTATATCTAAACATGGGATTTTTTTTGTTGCTCATATGGAATCATAGTGTGAATGACGCTTTAGTTGTGGTATCTTCTGAACAATCTGTAGGTTTCCATGTTGCTGTTCTGGGGCATTGCTCACCACAGTGGTGTAGTGTTGTGTTGGGTGGCAATGCAAACTGCAAAATAATGATCTATACATTTGATGTTCAGTTAAAAAAAAAACAGTAGCAGGAGTATTCTAGGTATTTTTGATGTGGTGCCATTATCACCAGTGAGGTTGTGCACTGTTAAACCAGCATGGTTTGTAATTAAGCTACACGTGCACACTTGTTTGTGTCTGTTTTCATGTGTGGATTAATGTTATTCTTAACAAATGTGATGTGAAGCAATGTGTAAATGACATTTAAAAAGTGCTTTATGAATAAAATCACTATTAAATTACAATACAATTCAGTCAACCGTTTTATTTTTACATTATGCAACAGCAATTTCTTGAAGAGAATCATCTCCTTTTTTTGTCTTGAATTTGTTTAATTATACTAAGTCACTTCAGAGTTTTGTCAAAAACACCCTCCCCCCAAACTAATATCTGCTCCAGCTTTACTCTGAAGTCCTGACTCCATGCAGGGAGCACAAGCTGTTGCTGGGCAACCGGCCGCCATTTGTAAATAAACACATGGGGCTATTACCTGAAAGACTGACCTGAGAAAAAAATTACTTTACCTAATGTGTTTCTTCTTACAAATACATGATATATGTTAACAAGTCGTAACAGCCATGAGCTCAAAGAAACTTTCTGCTGTGTTGGAGAAGCAGATTCGCCGCCTATGTCTAAATGACTTTCCATGTGGATATGGCACCTGGGTGAGTTTTTCCTTTTTTAAATTGGTTGTAGGGTTTAACAGGTTGTCTTCAAAAAATCATCATGTCTTTTCAGGGGTTTAGGGGCTTTTTTGCTTCCATAACATGTTTTCATTACAACTTATGGAGAGAAAACACCCAAAATACACATTAAAGAGGACATATGATGTAGAACAAAGTAGAACATTGCTCTACTTTTGAAGCGAGCAACGCTTTGCTCCCACAATGCAGTTACCCCTTCAAAGTGAATGGGCAGAAGCGTTGAAGCTTCAACGCACGCCGCCGTGTGTAGGGGCCGTTAGCCAATCACGTCCAATGTGTTGGAGCGCTAGCCAATAGAAGTGTGAGTGTTACATAGTGATGTCACTATGTAGTGGAGTCCAATGGAGGCGTTTCGGGCAGAGGGGGAGTGTGTGGGAGAGAAACTCTTGAGGGAACTTTAGTATTTTGGCCTTTGCAGACCATTTACATGCACAAAACCTAAATAACACATTACAGGAAAGGGAAACCCAAAAATGCATAATAGGGCCTCTTTAAGTGTGTTTATTGTGCTTCACTTTGACCTTTTGAATTCTCCTTATTCACTAAAACTGAGCATAGGATAATGCTTTGTTTGCATGTTCAACATTAAACATTACATTCCAGAAAACTTTTATTACAAAGAAAAATGTATTTTTAATCAACTGGGTAAGTTTCAAAGCGATATCTATTAGTTAACCTTTCATTCTATTTACCTGTAGTGTTATGCCAACTGTATGGAAAACATGTTTGAAGGCTATCAAAAATAGTTCTCATACTTTGAGCCAGAAGTCTCAGAAGCTCCTACACAAATAATGCAGTTTTATTCCTGTCTATATTCTGAAGGTCTTTAAAGACTGGTTTTTTCTTATATTCTGATAAAATGGCCGTATGCTCTAGAAACGAATCATTTGCATAATTCAACAGAAAATCAAATGGGGAAGTTTCATTGTTTTGTCTATTTGTTAAAGCTTTTAGCCTTTCCTGCAATATCAAAACTGCATACAGTAGCTAGTTTCTTTATACAGGAGGACATTGATAAACAGTGTGAATATGTTTCCAGAGAAAGAGCAGAGATAGTACAGAAGAAGCAGGGACGGAGGAGACAGACGCCCTCCTCGACCTGCTGACCTGCCCTCACTCTCCGTGGCGGCTGGATGAAGCCTGGAGCCCCCAGGCCTCGGCCCTCAGACAGCTGGCTGTGCTCCAACATGAACGCCTGCAAGCAGACTTCATCTACAACTACTTTACTACACTTCGCATTGTGGACAATGGAGTGGGTGTACTGATGTATCTCCACCTCACTCAGATCAAATAGTCTAATGTTGTTAATAGGACCTCCATCTCCTTAAACCATGTGGAATCATGCCTTTACTATTCAAGCTCCAACACTGGAACAATCTCAACTCATCAGCAGCTTATATGAGCTGATTCTGACAACTCTTTGACCACCCTTTGTAGCTGTACCAAATTACTCACCCTGTTACCTTTAATTCATGGAAAAGACATCTGATTTCCTTGCCTGCCTTCCCGATGACAAAAAATCCCCAAAAGGGAAAAAGGTCTTAATAACTTAAAGTCAATAGGGGCCATGTTTAACAAAAGCAACACTATATCAAAATAGAATCCATCTTGCGATTGGATCAAATAAGGCCGTGGTTTCAAATCAGGAGAGGGGTGAAAAGTGATACCACTCCTGCTTGGACCTCAGCCTTCATTTTGATCTCAGGTACACAGTTGTAAAGTTTTGAGACTCTTAAACTTAGGGATGTTAAGTCAGAGGAGGGGGGGGGTCTATTTCCCCCTTTGCACCCTTTACTGGGACTACGCCCAACTTCAAACTAAAACTTCATTTTGGTCTCAACTTGACGTTTTGCCTGTGTTGTGTTCAGGTATCAGTCATTGACGATGGGCTGTTAAAGTTCTCAAAGCTGGAGGAATTGGTGCTGAGTTCCAACAACATTTCAGAAATACCTGCAGAAAACCTACCCAGCACTTTGAAGGTGAGTGTCCTCTGCAAAGGTCCCACAGTTTGATTGAATATTTGAAACAGAGTAGAAAAGCTTTTCTTCCGTTGAGGTATCTCACTGAAAATGACACTTACACATCAGTGTAGCAGGCGTTCTGATGTGGAGATGATTAACTCTGATTGCAAAACTTGTGCTTACACAGATTTTGGAGTTACGTGCCAACCGGCTGTCTGCACTAAACAGTCTCACCCACCGCCTGCCTCCTCACCTAGAGTACCTCGGCCTCGGCTCAAACTGTCTGGGCTCTGATGATGATATCTGTTATCTTACAGGAAGACACTGGTTAGTTCTCACACACGCACGCAAGCAAGCATGCACACATGCACGCACGCACGCAGGAAGTTGCTGGTTATTTATGAGGTAAACCACAACCGGGTTGAACACATCTGTCCATCAGACAGAGTGCTGCTGTGCCTCCTGTCATCATTAATGGATGTCTCTTTAAAATGACCGCTCAGAGGAGAGGAGTTCTCATTTCTCTAACCGCCTGCTGCTTCCCCTCCTCTCTCCTCCGCTCGCATCTCCTGTGGGCGGCACCAAGTCTCGAGGATAGGAGTCGAGGATAGACATTTGAGTATTGAGAAACCTCTAATGAATTGATGTCATGTCATGTCATGGAGCGTTATGAAGGTTTTTTAGATTTCACAGATATTGTGATTTGATGACAGTGTGCCTGCATTTTTTTAATGGTGACACCGAATGAGGTGACCCAGGTAGTTTTCCTCTTAAAGTGGTCAGCTGGTGACACAGTGATGACAGCGATTAGGTAGAAAATGTTTTTAAAAAGAAGTATGACATCTATGAGATGTTGTCTCAGTATCTTGCATAACTTGTGTCATTACTCCATTTCTATAATAAGCCTACAAGAAACTGTTTAGCCAAAATACAGAAACTTGTGACTGAAACACAAAAATGTCCGTTCCGATTAAAACCTGTTACATTCAGCATTTTTATCCCAGGGCAATTACAGTATACATTTATGCACTTCATTATATCTGGCTTTCAATGTAGAGCAAAAGCCTATAATTGGAGTATTTTACACACAATTGAGCAATTTTCTCATGTTTTAAGCAAATATATAACATTTTCTGATTTCCTTCAGAAAATAAATACATCAGAATAAATGGTATTGCTTTATAATGACATATCTCCATAAAACATCCTTAACATAGCAAAGCATTTCTTAAGCTTTCCTTATTTATCATCAATTAAGAATAGTTGTAGTTATCTACAAAGACATGAAGTCCAGTTTTTTGTATCACAAGTACCATTTAAGTACTACTTTCCATCATACTACAATGATAACAGTTTATATTAGTGTTTTATTTGTCAGATAGTTTACATATCTCTTCTTATATTTTCACTTTTAGTTCTGGTTTATCTATCTTGAGATGTTTATATTGTATAATTGTTTATGTCGTACTCTTTTTTATTTTGTATTATGTGCAATACTTTTCTTACATGCTGCTGCAACAAAAAACATTTTCCAATTTGGGATTAATAAAGTGTATTTTATGTTATCTCATCTTATTTATCTTAGTTTGACGATAAAAATGTGATGACATGGGACGTTGTTTAGATTTTGCGCTTTTAGATACTTGTTTCGATTACAATTAAATATCCAAATGAATAGAAACTTTTACAGACTAATTATCTCTGTATTTATTTTGTTAATGGACCTTTGTGTGTGGCAGGGGGATTCTTAGACAGTTGCAATTTAATTTTAAATTGAGTCTCTAGCAAATATTTTAAATATTAAACAGATACCCTGCATTATCAGCTAAAGTGGTGGCCTTTAAAACTAGTTGGCATATAGGAGGCAGGGAGATCAAATCAAATACTCTAGTTGCATTATGGGAAATGTAGGTTCCAGCATTTTTGGAACTCCCTACCAGGGGGCCAACAGACAAGATATATCCGGTCTCTTGCTTCAATTTTAACCATTATTGTTATTAAAAAACATATTAAAAAAATGTGTCTCTTTTGGAAATGTGATAGTAAATCACCAGAGCGCTCTTTGGAAACAATTATTTTCCAGCTGCACACAGTGGTTTATTACAGCATTTCAAAAGCAGCTTTACATTTTTTGTTAGGCTATTTGTGCAACAAGTTTTATTACAAATGAAGAAAGAAAAAAAAAAAGAGTCCATCCGCTTCTTAATTTATTACTGTTGTTGTGATCTCAGGCCACAGCTAGTATGTATGGACCTGAGTCACTGTGAGTTTAAGGACCAGCAGGCCCTGCTGCGCGCTGTGAGCACGCTCCCCTGCCTCAGGACGCTGGTGCTGGAGGGGAACCCCTTCACTCTGGTCCCCTCGTACCCAGGCTTCACTCTGGACAGTCTCCCTCTGCTCTCCTGCCTGGACGCCTCATGGATCTCCCCTGAGGAAAGACTTTGCTTTAGAGGCTTGGCCAAGAAGAGTGGTGAGCCTGAGGGCTGTTATTAGTAGATCTGAGTCCTCTGAATGTAGGGGGCTTTTTTTATCATCATTTCTGTCATTTTCTCATTTTTCATATGTTCAGATCTGATAGTGGACCGGGCATCAGCCACAGTGAGTGTGGGCAGGATGAGGGGAATCCCAGACCCGCTGATGAGTGAGGACGGAAACACTCCTGATTTCCCTGTCATCGCTTACAGTTATTTTGTCACATACGACTTCCTCAGTCATCAAACTGTTAACCTGGTGACGTAATCTTTCGTTACTTTTGTATTCTGAACTCTAGGGAAAGTTTCACATTTTCTTTACATTTCAAAGGCCTATTTCAAGAGTCTTTTGTTGGCTTTTAAAGTTTATGTTACATAGTGATGTCTGTTAGATTGAACTTCCCTTTTTGGTATACGAATAAATTAGACTTAACTTTATTGTTATTGCACACAGTTACTTTCATAACAACAGAAACTGTTAAGAATCTATATGTGTGCATGAACATCAGTTTTATGTTTGCCCTGTTTTGTGTTGTTATTTAAAGTAAAACATAAAACACTGTGGAATATAAAAGATGTCATAAGTAAACATGACAAGAAACGGTCTTTTAAAAAGCACTTAATTATTTTTGTGTTGCTGTCTTACAGAGTAATGACAGTGATTCTAAATTTGACGCAGCACATATAACAGAGGACTGCTTCAGTTCTTCCGGCCTACAATCCAACAAAAGTTTTGAAAAAGAATCTTCCAAACCTGACACACAAGCCATGACAGTGTTTTCTGAGGAAACCTGCCATGATATTGCCCATGGTAAATCAACTCATTTGACTTCCTGCATGAAACTGTATTACATCATAAATGCTGTGAGAGCTGACACATATGTTTCCACGCAATGATACAAAAAAAGCATTGCGCCAAGGAATTTGGAAATAATGTCATTATTCATTTAATTTGGTAGTGTGTCACGTGGAAATGAGAGGAACCTTTTCTTATCAGTTTCCGTGAACTTCAGAGAAAAATACTGTAGAAGAGAGTTGTACACAAAGTGAAACTGGATGACTGATTAGTTATCAGTTATTATCATGTATCACTTACCTTAACTCAACGGCTGTATGTATCACAAACATTTTGTGTGTGTGTTTTTGTACATGCAATACCCACTGTGTGTGACACTTGGACTCTCTAATTTCTACAGTGACAAGACACAGCACAACAAAGCTGACATGGTCAGACTGCATTGACTTCAGTAACACAAAAACACACGTCATGAGTGATCTGGGAGGCCTTAAACGATTCTTCAATCAAGGCCTTTATCTGACGATAGTGGAGGAAAAGGTCACGTGAGTTAACAGTCGGTAAATGTTTAGATGCATCAACAAGTGTTAGGACTCATTTTCGGGCATCTGACGTTTTAGGTTCTGTCATGGCCTGCAGCCTCTGAAGACGTCCCGGGGCCCAAACCCTGCCAGACTGTGAAAGAAAAGAAAGGCGGTAAAGGGAAAGAAGTGAGTTTGTCTTTGAATTCAACTCAATCAAAAACTTTGAAAACCTCTTAAAGCTATATAATATACACTACGTACATACAAAAGAATGAGTATGGATTTGAGGGAAATGCTGTATTATTTATACCCATAATGGGGCACGTAGATAGAAACGGTGTGCTCACACTGACCGGGCAATATTGTATGAGATTTAGATTTTTACCACTGGTTATTAAAACCACCTCGGTTGCTCTAAATCTCATTATACTGTGATCACATTGTAGTTATAGTTCAGCATTTGTTTTGAAGTAACTTTCATTAGTATTATACATAATATTGATCCAAAAGCAAATATATCATTACAGATGTTTTCAATATTATAGATTATGATTTTCCATAGACTTATGTTGACCGATAACAAGAAGGTTCCAGTTCTGTTACAGAAATCAGTGGCTAAGTTTGCTCCGGGCCATCTGCAGCTGACCCAAGACTCTACGGCATCTGCCAATTCCACTGAAATACCCTTAAGCAACCTCATAATGGAAGATAATCTGATCCTTATCTTACCCTCTACAGTCCCTTAAGAAATTCCAGCGTGTATCTCAAAGAGAAATGAATCAGGGTCAGAAAGGATTAGCGGTGGAGAGGAAATCAGAAAGGGGAAGTGTACTGTCATTCTTATTCTAGTTTTATGTGTGATTGATGCAATAATATTGCAAAAACTGTGATATTTATAATCTTAATCAGTACTAAGATACATTCTGATATTAGTACTGATTAAGATTATAAATATCACAGTTTTTGTCACTACCAGTATACACCCCTAGTGTGAGGGTATTGCAGTTTGACTTCTTGGAGAGAGCAGGTCAGGTTAATTTGACCCTAAATTCAAAAAAGATAAAATGTTCCCATGTAATTTCAGTTTTTGTTTATCTGCTGAGGACAACATTTCTGTCTCCGTATCATGGTTTTATTAATGAGGTGGTTGTGCATTTGAAGTTCCACTTACAGTATATCAATAGATCAAAGGAAAATCCACCAGAGCTCACACAAGTCTGTTTTGGCAGATTCCACTGCATATCATTTTCATAATTTCCTGTCTGTGTTTCCTCCATAGTCTCCAATTAAATCTGGTTCCACCAAAGATAAGTCTAAAGACAAAAAGAAGAAATCTGTGCTAGAGCTGGTGCAGGACGCCTCCATCCAAAGAACCCTTGGCTCTGTGCACGTCCCGCTGCAGAGCCTGGTGCAGAGAGGAGGGAAGGTGGACGTCCTCTGTGACTTCGGTGCTCTTCACGCTGAGACTGAGGTGGAAGCTGCGCCAACACTTGAAAAGGCAAGTTTACATCCTGAGCAGCTGCTGAAATGGTTCAACTATCTGGTCTATTTCAGAGGAATTACAAGGAGTCAAATTGAAGTCTGGAAATATCGAGACAGGATAGATTAAAAACTAGCTTCAGGATTATAAAGTATCGAACCGACGTGGAGATTTACAGTATTTTATGTGGGATATGTTTTCTCTCATCTTTAGGATCTGGGAAAGAAACTCAAAGAGGACAAGAAGAAGGAGAAGGAACCAAAGCGGGGAGCGGACAGCGGCTCTAAACAGAAGAATACAGCAGCTTCAAAAGGTTGAACATCCCCATTACATTATCAGATTACTTCTCACACTGTAAAACCAAGTACAGAGATTATTTATTTAAAAACATCCTGACATAATTGAAACAAGGGTTTAAAATCCCACAGGAGACCCCAAGTCCCCAAGCTCTCCGTGACTTAGTACCTCACACACTTCCAGTCCCACCTCAAAACTCATCTCTTCTCCTCTGCCTACCCATAGCCCCCCCCCCCCATCAATCCATGCCCGGTAAACGTTTTTGTTTGTTCTCCCTCCGCCCCAAACCTCCCTTACATAATATTGTAAAGCGACTTTGATTCAGACAAAAGTGCCATATAAATACATTCTATTATAAATATTATTAAGTCCCGACTGTGGATCGTTACTTTGAGAGGTGCTAGTTTGCATTAGGGGCCTTGTCCAGGTGCCCTTGAGCAAGGCACAGTACCAGGGTGCTTTATAATAGCTCCCAAACACATCCTCATACTAGCAATGGTTAAGTGCAGAGAGAAAAATGTCACTGTGTGTGCGGTGTTGTGTACATGCCCCTATGTGACGATTAAAGAGGATTTCCTTACTCCCTTTCCATATTTGCTGTCCAATGTAAAGGACATTTTCAAAGGGATGTTTTTTGATGGATGTAAACTTTTCTTTTCAGTCTGCTTAAATCATAATCATGACTCCTGTTTGTTTTGTAGGCAAAGTAATGGAAACGAAGGACTGCGAGATGGAAGTGCATCTGGAGCCGGTGACCGTGGAGTTAAAGGTGGAGCTGGAGAAATGGCAGTCTGCGTCTGAAGCTCATTATCTCCTTCTCCCACACCAGCACTCATAAAAACATGATTGGCAGCCAGGCTTACTTTCTTATTTAGAGTTTGACCTACTGTACGCTATGAACCAGCAGGTTACTGTAGGTTTCAGGCCTAGCTTAGTTTAAGTATGACAATATATTTAACTTTTCTTACGTTCCTCACTGCGTCCCCTCATTACTGCTGATGGTAAATATGCAGATAGTTGAATATTTGATTTGTTTCTCTCATTCAAGTCACAAAGACAGTAGCCTACTTCAACTGAGAGACAACGCTTTTCAATACCGAAATAACATAACAATTTTCTGCAATGATTAGTCGAACAGCAGGAAAATAATTGGCAACTTTCTTGATAACCGATTATTCAAGAAAATGTGGTCAACTAACAATCAGCAGATCAAAGGATAAGGAAAATAATTGGCAATTGCAGCCCTACTTATAAACATAATTTTAAGATAAAAGTTGATGTCACATTGAATTTAAACACTAATACAAGCAAAAGTTCAATTTGAGCACTAGTCAAGATCCAAGACACAATTCTGGTTTAAGTTCAAATCGAGTATGAAAGCATGACAGATGGTTTGAACCTGCAAGAAGAAATGTGTCAACAGAAATGTGTTTTCTTTTCTCACATCTTCAAAGTTGGCCTTTCAGGTCAGACATATTCCTTTGCATGCACAGTCAAAACGAAAGCAGGACTTTTTGACCTAGAAGTGACATCCTGTTAGACACTGCAATGTAAGAAATTTCCCTGCAAGGTCCGCTGTTTTATCTAGAGCTCCTCACAAACTGCACAAAGGACATTTTGCTACATATGGGCTTCAACAGGGATTTCCTGTTAAAGCTAGTTGTACAACACATGAATATAAGAATACATTGAAGTTTGCAGATCTTTCTGCCATCTGTCCATGCATGCTCTCAAATCTTGACTTGCTTGAATTCATTTTGTGCAAACTCTAATGTTATGAAAAAAGTCATTGTATAGTATATTTAAAAAATATATAAAAATACAACTACATATATATTATTATTTTCATAACAATTACTTTATTTATATTTATTACACATATTTATATAAAACAATACAATCACAACCTTGCAAAGATTTTTTTAATCATAAAACAAGAAACCACAATTACTGTACAGATATGGCAAAGTAATATTTATATAAAAGACACTCTAAAATGCAAAAATTAAGCGTACACATCACAATGCAAACAATAAGGCTGTCATTTGAATGTTAAATAAACCATTAAATCAACTTGTAATGTAATTACAATTCATCATCATAGCACAGCTGCGTATTGTCATTGTGTGTTTTTGTGCTGCTTGAGTAAAATAAAAATAAATGCTTGAACAGAGATATAAGTAAATCAGGACATTTTAGACGTAGGCTATACAAACCATAAACCTAGAGTATCTCTCTTTTAAGTGTAATACAGCAGAATAGTGTATTTTGGCATGAGGTGGCTGCTGTGTAGGCTACTAGGCGGTGTTGCCTTCAGGCAGTCCTCTGTTGCCCAGGAAACACAGATGGTGGATGAAGGGTGCGCATACAAAAGACCCTAAACCTGTGGCAGCAGCTGGAGAGCGAGCCTAATGATTAATTCAGGTCTGTGCGGACCCTCTCACTCAAAGACGTCTCTGTTCGCTCTAATACCTCCCATCCATTTCCTTTGTCCCGGGGCTTCCGTCTCGCACTTTATCCTGTTTTCCCCGGACTGGTCTGCCGTCAGTGCGCAGCTGTTGTTGGCACTCCCACATCTGCTCGTCTCGGCAGCCATGTAGACGAAGCTCTGTTCTTGTGTTAGTCCGTATCGTGAAGAGGTCCGGGGGGCGAGCTGCCTCTCACTGCGGGCTAACCGCTGCACACACACGGCGTGGATTTGCAGTATCTGGCGCTTGGCCCTCAGCATGGAAGAGGAGGAAGAAAAAGAAGAAGTGATCTTTTCGCACCGTTTGATGCTGCGGGACAGGTGCATGTGGAGACCCGAGAACACTGGTAGGAACACAAAGACCCTCCTGTTTCTGTTTTCACACTCGACGTTTTATTTCGCTGTTTAAACTAGTTCAATCAGATGCATTTGCTGTTAAGTTAGATAAACATGGACTCATTTAATTTCCTGCAGAGGCGGGCCTGGTCTGTCTTTCCTCAACCTGTCTTCCTTGAATGGTTTATGGATATTAGAATGTGATTATTTATAGAAAAATCGATTTCTGGAAGACACATACCACATAATGAAGATTTATATAATGTCTGACAATAAGTTGCTGTAGAAAGTGTTACAGTATACTGAATCGCCTCCATAGTCTTTATCCTAAGAAGGACAGTTTCTGTGCAGCCAATGTACATTTATTATATTTGCACTGCTAGGAAAAAAAATGTGTCACATTTAACTTAAACCTAAGCTATGGTCTCAGGTTATGAATGTGTGTATTTATTTTTGTTCTAAAGGGCAACTTGGACAAATTAACAAAAAAATATGAATGAAATGCAACAGCATAATCAAAATCAAAATCAACTTACAGACATTTCTGATTAGATAGATATAGATGGACAGATAGATATATGGATAGATTGAACGTCTTTATTTTGAGCAAAGACAAATCCATTTCCTTAGGCAATACGATGGCCTACAAACAGACAACACAAAACATAGATAATAGACACCACAGTACACCATTATTAAAATTTGCAAAATGTTTCACACATTTATTCAATACGTACAATTTTATTTTCCAGGTACAACCCCTGTTGTCGGTGTCACTGGATTCATCTGCAGAGCTGCTGACATGTCACCGGTGGGAAACAGGGAGGATCCACATGGGAACCAACAACCGGACAGGTTATGTGTACAGGCTTTATTATATACTTATTCAGAAAGCATGAGTCAGGATAGCTCTTAACGACACACAATATCAGATGAATAATTGAATAGCCTTAGTCAGTCAGTTAGATAACGGATACTTTGACTGTTTTAGCAGTGGGTGTACTTCAGTCAGGAACAATATAAGAATAAACAAATAATCCCTGGGGTTTCTCAGGAGGACAGTTGAGTTGTGTCCCACTTTTCTGCTGCTTTGTGTTGTGTGTTCCTCTCTAGTTACGTTGACGAAAAAGCAGACCTGGCTTGCTCTGGACATCGCGAGCGACATGGCTCCGTCGCCCCTCTGCAGCGCTGCACACACACCGGTACAGGTTCTGTCAGTAGATTTACACCGCTGTGACTTTTATCCCCCTCATATTCACTTTACTCTCTGCCCTGTGACTTGTTATATGGGTCTAGATGAATATAAACTGCAGAGCACATTTTTACAGACTCTTATCTTGCCTTTTGCCCACATACTGGATGTGTCCCTGTGTGTGTGTGTGTTAAGCCTCTGCTGGCTGAGAGTGCAGATAAATGGAGAGCAGATAGAACATGGGAGATTAGTTATGTGTTAAATCTCTGCCATATTTTCCGCAATATGCTGCTATCCTTTTTTTTGAGGATTACAGTAAAGAGGGCGGGTACACTAACCTGAACGTGGATACCATGATCAGATTTAGCTTAATCAGCTTTTCAGATTGCTTTTTCAACATTATGTAGGATTATCATAGAAATAAAACGTTTGTTGGACCTGGATACAAATATATATATGTCTTTGGTAATCTTGTAAAAGAGTCCAACAGGAATGTGTTTAAGCTGTAAGGAAATCTGTACATCACGTCTGTATTTCATCCTTTAACAGCTGTCGTATCGTTTCACCTGCAGTGACCGATGCACGGGGCCTTCACTGATCTTCTGGTCCCTCAGAAGGAGAGGATCCGTGTCCTCGTGTTCCCCTACTGAGAGACGACTTCCGCAGCTTTTGTGTATCAGTAAAAAAGGCTTTGAAGAGTTAAAAATGCCACCAGTGCTTTGTAGTCACTGTCAGCATGATCAGATTTAGCAGGGGTGGTGTTTTGAGTCCAAAATAATTTGCTGCAGTGTTCATTCTTGTTTCTCTCGAATGTGCCTATTTTCGAGCTGTGAGTAATACTAATATAGCTTCATCCACCCCCACTCATGTTTTTATTTTTGGCCTGATAAAAAACACTGCAGCCACTGAACATCTCACTTGCTTTTTTTTCCTAAGCTGCCGTGTGCAGTGACCTCTTTACTCGTTTTCTCTTTATTCTGTCCAACACTTCTTCTCTTCTCTTCGTATTAAATTCACAAGAAGCAGTGTGTTATCTTCTCACCAAAGCTTGCATGTTTCTATGCCAGATCCAAAACGGCAAAGCCTTTAATAATTTACGGGAAAAAATCTGCTTCGGTGTGAGAATGACTCACATTTTGACAATATGTTCTTTGTTTGTCTTGAAACACCCTTATTATGTGTGATGTCAGCTTCTTTTATTGTACTGTATTCAGTGCATATAATGCGTATTTCTGCTGTAGCACGTGGGTGTGTGTGTGGTTGTGTCTGTGCATGTGCTCTATTCCTATGTGTGCATGTGTCAGTCTGATGAAACACGTTTGTAATGGGCCTGAAGCTACTAGCTGCTTTTCAGTGGTTTACAATCGCTGCACAGACTTTAACATGCCTGAAATTCTTCTTTAAACACAATGGATGTACCGGACAAAGGATAAAAAAGTATTTACAAATGATTCTTGGCATTTGTTACGACATATTTGCAGTACCAGTTAGGTGGGGGTTCTTGTGATTTAGATAATTGCAGGAATGTCGCTGGAAATTAATGGTGTGTAGTTTTCGAAATGGTGTATGCTAGCGTTAATTAAACTGTCCCGATGCCTCCAACCCCATCATCTGATACTCCAGCAAATTACAGCAAATGCTAATAATTTTGTGCAAATAGCTTTTTACCCATGTCTGGATTATACTAACAGTATCTGACTAATATCTAACAATACTAATATCTGCTAACAATCGGGTGATTACTAACACGTACTCTGAATGCTCATGGCTGGCCTTGTTCTTCCTAACTCACTGACTAACCCTCTGCTTTATGCCCGCAGTCCGATGCACACACTCCTCTCTCATGATCCTGCAATCCTTCTTCTTGAAATCAGATAAAGGGGGAAAATCAATGAAAAACTGTTAAAGTGAGCATGTCAAGAAGGGTTTCAGGACTTGGGAAGAGAAATGTTATTAACCAGTAGATAAAAAGAGGAGCAGAAACAGCTGCGGATATCAAACTGGGTTGACCACATACGTTAGAAGATTCCTCACAACACTGATTATGATCTGATTCCCAAAAATGCATCGCCACGCTTCACAGGCTAAATTCACATCTGCAGAGACGGTCTGTGCGCTGTGTGGTCAACCCTCGCAGGTGAGTGCCTGTATTGCTGTTACAGCAGGCTTAGCAAACCTCATACTAACTTATTATGGTGTGGATACTAACTGTGGTGAGGTGATAAAGGCCCACCGGTTGCTCTTACTAACATCTGTGTTATTTCTCACTAATAATTCTCTCTAATCTGTGATCAAATGACTTTTGTTAATCTTTAATTATATAAAAGCATGCCTCATGGTTTAAGTGATTTTTGCTCAATTATTTTACACAGAAACTTCTATCCAAAACATTTCTGAGTGCCATGAGTGTATGCTTTTTAGCAATGGGAACTATATAATTCTAACCGTGGCGGTGACATGCTCTACAGAAATCCTTATAAACACAAGCTACTAACCTCTAAGTTATATTAACATTTACTAACCAAAGAGCTTTCCTTAGCTCTCTGCAAACTAACATACTAACCCACTAATAAACTAATAACCTAACAAAAACTAACTAAAAACACTCAGAATTAGTGAAGCGCCCTGATTTTGAGGAGTTGCATCACTTACTGAATGTACTAACGAAATAAAGTTTCAAAAAGTTGAATGTGCCTGTCTGTGTGAGAGAGAGCAAAGACAATAGTGTGTGTGTGTGTGTGTGTGTATGTGTGTGTGTTCTCTTAAACACTTTACAATACCAAAGCATATTATCTGTATAGAGCAGTTAAATGTATCCACAGTTTCTCTTTCCACCGAGCACCAGGATACCTTCAAAAACACACCTTAAATGTTGAAATATAATGAATGTAAAGAACAATCATTTCAATGTGCACACCTATTTTTGTACTTTGACTCTTTAACAGTCGTCTTAGCTGTATTTCATTGTAATAAAAATGTTCACATGTTTTGTCTTTTTTCTCAACTACTTACTTGAAATGTACAACATGAACATTCCTAAGATCCCATCAAGGCAACCATGCAAACTGTTCACAACAGCCAAGTATAACAGAAGGAACGGTGGATTCTTGTCAAAGATCATGTTCTCTGAGCGCAGCCAGGAAATTACAAGGTTTTTTATTTTTATGGTGCCAACTCCAGGAGTGCCATTATTCGAAACAACACCTTTACTCTCTTGATTGCTGTAATCACACTGAAGCATTATTACTGTCGCAGCACGTTCAGCACATGCAGAGGCCTGCAGAATACATTCATTTCAACTATAATATCAGTGCAATTGATCAATAACACCAATGTTTTCAGAGTGCTTTTTGTTTTGCTCCAAAGCTATGAACGTTTGGATTTATCACTTTGATTTATACCTTTTCATGATTATAGGTGAAGAGCAGCGTCTGAACAGTAATAAATAAAATACTTCTTTAAAGTAATGCATTCATATTTTAATATTGGCATCAAAATGTACTTAAAGTCCAAAAAGTAAAAGTACTTAATGGCTCATTTCAGAATATTTTTAATTATATTATTAATGCAATGTTGTGTATCGAGCTTTAATGTTGCAGATAGTAAGCTGTTAGCTTGTAAATCTCACCAAGGCATCCAAAGTGTCTTAATCTTAAAAATAAATGATGAATTATCTGTTGATTATATTTTGTGTCATTTATCTGAAATGTAACAGCATACATTATGCATGTAATGAGGAGAAAAAACAACAATATTGTGCCTCTGAATTGTAGTATAAGTGTAAATTAGAAGGAAATGAAAATACACAAGTAAAGTACATTACTTAATGTACTTTGTTACTGCATGTGTGTGTGTGTGTGTGTGTGTGTGTGTGTGTGTGTGTGTGTGTGTGTGTGACTGCTGCCCCTGAATGAAAAACTCTCAAAAAACACCAATGCTGTCCTAGCTAGCCGTTGTCACACATATGGATGGGAGGATTTGAAGATGTTCATGCCTGCAGTGTTACAGCAGGGGGCAGCAGCTCATCATGTTAGAGGATATGTTTCTCGATCAGTGTGAGATATTCCATTTAGTTCCTGGACACATGTTTGCAATAGTGCAATGATTTCACTCTGTTTTGTTTGAACGATACACTCTGTGCTGCATTGCGGTCAAAACTATTTCTGATATATTTTAAACCATAAATGTGTGATGTTTTGTGATGTCTCTGAATATAAAGTGAGCACTTGATTGGTTTTGCGAGCGGTAAGATTTGTGACAACAAAATAAAAGAATGCATAGTTTAGTTTCTGAACTCAATTAATTATTAACACTTTTTCACCTTTAAAGAGATGTTAAAGCAGAAGACTTGCACAGTTGTTATCTGGATTGAATTAATGTATATGTCTCTCCCGTAAAAAATGTTTAGAGTTTTTTTCTTAGCTGCTGAAGGGGTCTTAGGAAATAGAGTGTCATTGGTTTACAGATGTCAAATCCAGGGTATAGGGTATATAAGGTAATGATGTGATCTATCAATTAAATTAGATTTTATACATACATTTTTTGTCAAGCAGCTGTTTTCCATTGCACACTTTAGTCAGAAATTGTCCTTAGGAGAAGTGCAAGTGAAAATGTGGCTTATTTCCTTTCTGCTCTTTACCTTGGTAATCGAGATAGAAAGGTTAAAGGTCATCCCTCTCTATATTTTGAGAGAATGCAAACTATGCAGACGGCAGCAGTGTCCAATGATGTTGGAACCACCCATTCAGACAGCCATGACTAATGTGACCAATTTATGTTCTTTTATTTATTTAATACATCTAAGAAATAATTCTGATTATTTTGGCAGTGTATAACTCCAACTTAATGTGGCACAGGTTAATGTGAAAGAAAGACTGAGGGGTCTGTGTGCACACTGAAACACAAACAAACACACACACACACACACACACACACACACACACACACACACACACACACACACACACACACACACACACACACACACACACACACACACACACACACACACACACACACACACACACACACCACACACACACACACACCATGTATACATCACTTCAGGGGACATTACATTGACTTACATGCATTTCCTGGAGACTTATCCTAACCTTAACCATAACCAACACATGCCTAACCCTAACCCTTAACCTAACCCTAATCCTAAACCTAACCCAGTCTTCACCCTAAAATTAATGATTCCCCTCATGGGGACCTCCAATTTGTCCCCATAAGGGAAGCCAGTCCCCACACGTGACTATGTAAACAGATTTAGGTCCCCACAAGTATAGTAATGCTAGACCACACCCACACACACACACCCCACACCCACACCCACACACACACACACACACACACACACACACACACACACACACACACACACACACACACACACACACACACACACACACACACACACACACACACACACACACACACACACACACACACCTTCATTCCAGCATCCTCCTGTGCTTGTGTCAGTCAGAGGGGGCTCTGCTCTGCCCCCCATTTGAGCCCGATGTGATCCAGATGACGGGGGTTCCAAAGGTAGGAGCAGCGGGGCCCGGGGTCTTCATGGGTCAGCTCTAATTCACCACAGAGCTCAGAGAGCAGAGTCTTAACACACACAAAACCCCTCACAGAAAAGTAAGGCTCCACTTAAAGTCTTGAATATCACACAAACTCCGGTTCAAAGGCAGGTATGTTGGGATGAAAAACATTAATCGGCTTAATGATGTTCTCCAGTGAATGGTTAGTTTAGTCAGTCTTTCAAAACACACTAATGCTCCAGTTTACAGGGACTTGGATGCCACAGAAGCATTGTGGCTCAGAGAAAAAAGAGAGTGGAGAAATAACAGTGCGGGCTGGCAAGAAATAATTCCACAATTATCTCATGGTTTCAGAATTTCTGGAGATTTTACCGACTGTGTATTTCCGTTTTTACTCGTTCCTAAAAAAAGAAATGAGGAATGTCTGTGCACAGCGTATGTATGTGTGTGTGTGTGTGTGTGTGTGTGTGTGTGTGTGTGTCTGTGTTTATGTGTGTGATCCAGAGGCAGCTCTCTGTAACCAGAGCCTCCATCACAGGGAGGATGTCTGCTGAAATAACAGCTCACTGCCTCCAACGGAATTTGTCTGTAAGCTGTAAAAGATGGCGAGGGGGGAAGAAGAAAAAAGTGAGCTCGAGAAGTATTTCTCTCTGTGGCGCTGTAATCAGCAGCGCTCGGCCCTGCGGAGTTTAAAATAGTAAATCTGCTCAAAGACAGTTCAAGGGCTGGACAGAGATGGCTCTCCCTGCAGGTGTGTGTGTGTTTGTTTGCGTCTCTGCTTGTACTGTAGTTCGAATGAAGATATGTGAAATATTCTCTATATTTAGGGTGTAAGTGTTATTAAGGCCTACTTCATTCTGTGGTGTTAAGTGTGTTTCCCAAGCTTAAGCCGTCCAAACTATCCATATGGCAAATGCTACACAAGCCAAAAAGTGCTTAAATTGGTCTTAATGTTAAATTCAACAAAAGATGAAAGACTTACAAACATGTAAGTCATTTCTTGCAGACTTACAAACATGTAAGTCATTTCTTGCAGACACCAGCAAGACTTAAGTTGTTAATTAATGTGTGAAGTGTGATGATGTAAAAATGCAGTTTGTTAGCAAATGCAGATACTTTGTTTGTTAGAGATGTCTTTTATGATCAATTTCCAGAATTAATATTTGCAATAAAGCAAAGCTCCAGTTTCATGTTTCTCCTTGCAAAGTAAGCATTTGCAATTTGCTAAGTAGCACAGAAAGGGCTCAGAGCTCATGTCCACTGCTCATATTATTTTGGGCCCCAAAACAAGTATTGGAGATCAGGAATGGAAATGGAGAGTAGCAGAATTTGGGTCAGGGGTTGCGGGTCTTTAAGTGTACAATAGGGGCTTTAACATGAGTGCAGGAGGAGTTCATGAAAATGGTTTGCAGACTTTTAAAACATTTGAAGAGGAAAATTCAGCTAATCTCTATGAACAGGGTAATCTCTCTTTTAACCACGCCACAGGTTCCTCGGATCAACAAAACATCCAAAGACTGACGTGACTACATGTCTCTAGAACCACAAAACCATAATGTGGTTTGAGTATTTTGGAAAATCTGAGAGCATAGATTCTTGTTCTGCTTTATTTTGATGCAAAATGACTTGTATACTTGGGTTTTCTGCAGTGATATTCCACAAACACTTTCCTCATCACTGAATATTGTCCACCTCTCCCTGCTTCTAAACTTTGAAACCATCTTCCATTAAACTATTCGACACATGATACGCTTCGATTAAACAATTTGACACATGATCTACGCAGTATCCTCGTCCCTTCTTCATCATTCTTCCACACACTATGTCCTGTTAATAGTGTGAAAATGGTGGTATTAAGTAAGACCTGGTGCTTCCTAAATGTCTTCCCTTCATTGCCTGCAGCCAACATACAGAGACTAGATAAGCGGACAGTGGGAGAGAGCCAATCTGTCCAGCTGGCTGCTGAATGATGGACAGTAATTAAAAGTTAGCTAATAACCTCTTCACACCTGACATTTCAACAGGGAGGTCCTGGACACCATTATCTACATATAGATTAAACAGCGTAATTGGCAGGGAGATAGGGTTAGGAGGATCGCGAAAGGAAACGGAGAAAAAAAAGGCCAGGCCATCGCCAAACCATTAAGCAGAATATCTGAGTGACACTCTGATTTTGCTCCTCTTGCTAATGCGACATGAATTGAGCTGAACTAAAATGCTAAATGAATGAAGCCTATCTCGGTCTGGTTATTACCGGGGCAAACATCGGCCATGGAAAATAGCTTTAATTTCATAATAATTGCTAGATGGACGTGACTCGTTAGAGACACAATGTGAGGGTGGAAATAGAGGGAGACAGAGAGGGGGAGAAAGGGGAAGGGGGACGGGAGAAACTCTTCTGAGCCTGAATGCTGTTCTTTGGGCTGCAACA